ACAAAATCCTCGCGCTCTTTGTCGTTTTCGCGGCGCTCGGCAGCTGCACCTTCGCCCGTACATAAGCATATGCATTCAACGCTACCATCGCTGCTGCTGCCGCTGCACGACGGACCGAATCTAGTGCTTGTGTGACATGCTGCCTACGAGGCAATCGTTTCACGCCGCACGCTCGTAGAAACCCATCAGCCATTTCCTTCCTGTGCACAGCTGTGGTGATCGCTTGCACTTTCAGGCATTCGTCATTGCAATCGCACGCGCTGTCCGAGCATTTACGGACTTGAATGGTGGCATAGCTGCACAATGGCGCAAGTTGGCATGCCTCAGAAGTAAAATGAATAATACTTAGTACTCAAAAATTTGGTACTCCATAGGAAATGCTTCAAATCTATACATTGTAGCAGGCAGATGTCTGTATCTACTATACATTATAGATATTAAAGAGAAATTAATATTGGGGCCCTTTATTCGAGAAATATGTAGAACCCAAATCAAAAATTTGTTTAGTTTTTGTCTCTCTATTTGGCAATTTAGAGAGTTGCCACCTGTAGGAAAATATCAGTTTAAGTAAATTGATAATATGAAGTAAAATTGCAATATGGCTATAAAAAAGAGATTTAAGAAGGCCGAAATTATTTTTGTCGAAGGTTGCCACCTGTTTGAAAATTTTAATTTAACTTAATTAGTAAAATAAATGAAATACAGTCGAAACCGGTTAGTTGCAATCCGGTTAACTGAACACTCTGCTTAATTGGCACGAAAACTCTCTCCCCAATTTTATTTTATTTGTCATCGCTAACTTGATACTTCGGATAAATTAAAAAAAAAAAAATTTATGAAACATAGCGAAAATGCACTAGCTCGAAACTGTTTAAATCCAACTGTTTATTCAATTCAACTTTATAACATAAAACGGCCCTAGAAGTATTTAAAAGTAAAGTAATTAGCTGATTTCATAGAATATGTCGAGCAAGCTGATTTAGTTCGAATTTTGAAATTGAGTGACAACAATTTGGAAAGAAAAAATCTGGCGGTTTAATTAAAGTTCGTTTAATTGGCTACTGTTGCATTTAACCAAAGTTCTGCTAATTGAAAACCTCGGTTAATTGCATCTGAACAGCCGTTAAATTGGTGTTGCAATTAACCGGTATCGACTGCACTACAATACAGGTATTAACTTGAAGAGGTTTGAGAAATTTTTCCGTCGAAAATATTTTGGAAGCGGGTTGTCACCTATTTGAAAAATCGAGTTCAGTTAAATGGTAGATATTGAATTTGTATACCTTTAATACTAAACCGACTTTCTGAGTACCTTCGAGAAAATATTAACCAACACCCTCGTTCATAGGAAATAAAGAATGCTTCATTAATCGAAAATGTATTTGAAAATCTCATTTCATAAAGCTTTTCAAATTTTTTTTATTTTTTTTTTATGAATGAGGGCAAAAGAATTTTTGGAGGGGGTAACAACAAAATAATACTTCTAAGGCGCAGTGAAGGCCGCCGTGCATTTGCTAGTGAATAAAATAAAAATTTCGGATAAAAATTAATACTGGCTAATAAGGTAAAAGGCTTCTTCAATAACATTGACTCAGAATAATGCTAAAGCACGTTTACTTAACTTTGAGTCGTAGATTACAAATCTGTACTCTGTTTTTCTAGATTAAGTAATTTTCCCAAGATATTTTCATTTTTATGAAAAAAATCGAATTTTAACAAAGAAAATATTAAAAAATTAAGAGATTTTTTTTAATTATTTCGTTTATGGTAAAACCTATTTTGTAACAAAAAAAATTTACCGGAGAAAAAATTAAAGAATTAACTCATTTTTTAAACTATTTTCTTTTGTAGTAAAGCCAATTCTGTAACTAAAAAATCAAGCTACTAAGAAGAAAATCGATGATAAATAAAAAAGTTATGAGTGGTCAAATGAAAATGCGTAATGATTTTTTTTTCCATGAAATATGCGCAAGTAAGAATGTTGCTCATACGCCATGTACGAGTTCGGCTATGGGCCAATTGCACAATGCGTAGTTAACTCAGAATCGGGAGTTAACTACAGATTTTTGTACTGAAAATCTCTAGTTAACCGTCGATTCTGAGTTAACTACGCACTGTGAAATTGGCCCTATGTGTTATTGAAATATGACCAGGTTAGAATGTTATTAAAATATTTTCCATGTTAAACTTTGATTTTTTCGTTCAAACTAGAAAAAAAATATCTTGGAAAAATTATCTAGAAAAATGGTATACAGATCCGTAGTCTAATACCAAAAATTAAGGTAACGTGTCTCGACGTTTTTTGTATAATTTTAGCGTTCCTACAGTGTTATTAGAAATAGTAATTGAACACAAACCTGAAAAAGTTGCAACTTACATGTTTCGAAAGTTAAATTTGGAGATGTTTCGAGACGTGGGGTGTTTCTCCGCATGCCGGACACTCATTTGGCATATCTGCGTCTAATTTGCTCAGGTATGAGCTTAACCTGCTGATCTAATGAGGTCAAATATCTTTGTATAACACTTGATAAGAGGCTGAGTTGGAATTCCCACATAGACAAACCTTTTTAGTGCGAAGTCGCCTCCGTAGTTTAGTGCGCGTTAATACAAACAACTGTCATTAAGTAGACTCCAAAGTTTCGCTCTCGATTACTGGGTCAATGATAATATGTTCAACCACGCTGTGAAGACGCTTCCAAGATGGGTTCAGCGAAGAATTTTCGTTTCAGCAGCAACAGTCTCTAGAGGATTTCCGCTACAAATATCACACGTTACTGCTAAAATAACTCTGGTTTGACAGAAAATTTTAAGTCCAAATCTCGTCAAATGAGCTCCCTCGCCTGGATCTTAGTTATGTACATTGGTACACAAGCGGGCCTAGGTTGGAAGACAGTAAACGTTAGGGTTGTTTTATAGACCCGGCACTAAACTTTTTATTCCAATTACAAGATGGCGCAGTTTCACAGGTAAGGGTGCTAAAAATCATCAGCCGGAAAAAAAAAGCTTGAGAAAGGTTTGAAAGGCGCTTCCTTAGTTATCTGTTCAGAGACAAAAACGACCATTAGTGCGCTCGCCAATAGTATAATCAACTCCAGGTTCTCCAACCCTCAGCTAAAGTTTTTGGCATTTTCGAATAACAAGACAAGGTGGATTTTAAAAATAGAGCTCACACATGAATCCTTTAATTTTAGAAATTTTGTATTTGAATTTTTGGTGGCTCTTTGCAAATTTCGAAAACCAACAAGCGGCAGCGAATTTTTTCGAGGTTGTTGAGCATTTTCTTCCATATAACGTAGTAACAAAGAAGTCTAAAAAACCAAAGGTAATTTTTAGTGACTAAAAACTTGAACTTTGTTATACTTACATTGAATGGGCTACAAAGCTGCATTTTTTTTCAACTTTGTGCAGTGCAATTTATTTTGTTCCGTTTTTTTTCATAAGATAAATATTTAGGCGTATGGTTAATCGTCAGTGACCCACTGTGCCATACTTATCATTTAAAACGCCGCACTTGCTGCAGCGTTTCGTTAAGTCTTCGAGTGTACATATACATACATATGTATGTGTGTGATGTACTATACATAAGTGTGTTTGCTGCAGTGAAAAGCAATTGCAGTGAACACGAAAGCACTGCTGCCAAATAGGAAGAAGCAAGGTAGGGGGAAAGATTGTTTCAGGTTGTTGTTGGCATTATTGCTAAATCACTGCAACTGGCGATAGAAATTAGTGAAAATACACTTTTACTTTTAATTTTCTTCGCTGCACTCGAGTGCACTATTGCAACTTTGGTGGAGATGATGATTTGCTGCAATTATTGATGTTTCCACAGATATTTTTTGTTTTTTTTTCTTTTTTTTTTTTGGTTTTTTAAATTTTTTTCTGTTGCTTTTGTCTATGGTGGCGAAAGCAAAAACACTAGCAACGACCACATAAATGAAACTCGTTTCAAACCGTGATAAATTGCTTTAATGCAGCACTCTGTAATCGCTTTTGTGTTAGTATTTTCCCATCTTGTTTTTGTTTATGTTTTTGCAATTTCGATTTCATTTTCATTTCACTATGCGCTTTTCCTTTCTTCGTCTCTTGAATATTTACAACTAATTTAAAAAGTGGTGTCAGCGTAGTTTGCCATGCTTGCATTTATCTACGAATGTATGTATGTATGTACAAATACGTATGTAAGTATACTTATGTATGTATGTTTTGGTTGTCAGCTTGCCGACTTGGGAAAAATAAATATTTTTATTATTACTAATTTAGTCCCAGTTGACAGTTGTTTGGCTAGTTGTTGAGCTGGCTGGCTGGCTGGTAGCAAACCGGGTCAATGTCATTGTGGACTCGCTGGCGACAGCGGAGGTGCATTGTTGTTGTTGATTTCTGTTTGCATCGACCCACCACTTGGCTTGTCTGTGTGTAGTTTGTAAGTTTTCTATCGTAAATTGTCGTGCCAAGGTAGATGCAGTTTCTTGACCGCGCAAAATTACTTGAGAAAATTTTAGCTATAGGTATGAGTTTTAGATTAAGTTAGAGATGGGAACAGAAATAAACTTTAAAGTGGAAAAAGATTACTCTCTACTGGGAGGGGGGAGGGCAAAGCAAACTCAACCCAATTAAGTAGCATTTATTTGCTTGAGATTAATTGCAAGTTTTTTCTATGGAATTGTGGATTTCTTGTCGCCTCATTTTTCCGCTAAGTATACCCAAAGCAATTTACATTTCCACGTAACGTCAGCTACATATTTCCCAACCCGGGAAACTCCCGTGGCAATAGCGGGTGCAGCCCAGGTGATTACCACCCATTTAACTCTTACATATTTACATACATACGTATGTACGTGCATTTACATGCATGCCTTCAATTTCTTAATCAAACCGGTTAGGTAACCATTTGATTTCTCACTTAATTCATTACATTCTTAGTATTTCTACGATAAAACTTACGATAATTGCATTGTTGTTTCTTCTGTACTTAAACATTTGAAATTTTCTTCTATCAACAGATACTGAAATCCCGGTTATAAAGCAATCAACGAGTCCAGGACCACTGTTAACGCACCATCAGCATCATCACCATCAACAACAGCAACAACATCAGCAACAGCAACCATCACAACTCCAACAACAACAACAACAACAAAGTACTCCATATACGGCATCTTCAAGTGTTATACACATAAAGTCCGAACAAAATGTAGTACTTTCTCCGCAGCACCAACAACAGCAAGCACAACAGCAGCAGCAGCAGCTTGTTAACGGCCTGTCGCAGCATAACGGTCCACTTTCAGGGTCAGGTGCGAATAACCAACTCCAACCATTGGCAATACCACATCGGCCATTACTGCACAATCTGTTGAGTGGCGGCTCCATACACAATTCACATCACAGGACCTATGGAGCACCCACAACAGGTAGGCTAGACATATATTCGAGTACATACATACATATGTATGTACATATGTATGCACAAATGTAAAATTGCTTAATATCATTCAAATAAGACTGTGTTTTATGCGTCCCTACCTTTCCAATTTGTAACTTCTGTAAAAAGTATTACTGATTCGTAGAATTCTGTTTATAGAAAAATCGCAGTAAATGGCATCCTTTAATGTTTCCTTAATAGTTTTAAATTTCTTAGCTCCCATAGACTACGATACGAGCGGTATTTCATTTTTACTTTTTTTTTAGCAGCTTAGCTGGAAAACAATAATTTGTTGGCCAAAGTATAGACAGAATTACGGTTCGATGACAGCTGTGCCGTCTAAATGTAACGTAACGGTTGCATATTTTAGTTATTATTAATTTTTGTTTACTGGCTTAATTTTTGTTATATTGGTTTTAAACTTATTGTTACTCCTGAAGTATTTTTTGTTGTAAAAAATTTGTACTAATAAAACAAATCATATTACTTTAAAAGATCAATTCTCTTATATTTATACATATGTAGTACCAGGATGACCGATCAACATATCTATGTGCATCAGGGTGGTCCAAAAACGCATGCAAAAAAATTTTAAGTCGGAACTTGAATGCTCTCATACCGTAGAATTGTTCTACATAATTTTAAACAGATAGAAAAATATTGATTCTTAACTATTATATACCATTTCTACGAAAAAATGTATTTTTCCCATATAAAAATACACAGAAAACTTTGTGTGCCTTGAGCGACCTCTAAATATTTTTTGATTTCAAAATAAAATAAAAATAGGGGTATACTTTTTTTCGATATTGAACAATCCTAGGGGGGTGAGAGCTTTAAAATTTCGACTTTACTGTTTTTGGACCACCCTTATGTATATAAATATGCGCTGTGTATACATATGGGTTTTCAAGCAGAAAGTCTAGCGCGAAAAAAATCATATATCTAATTTATTTATGGGAAAATTTGGCTTCTTTTTATAATATATACCGTTATTTGAACAGAAGCATTTTTACGAAAATATTTTAAAAAGCTGTATTTATGCTCTGATTTGTTTCAAATTTGGCGTGTTTAGTTGAAACGTAGTTGGCAGCCACAGAGTGGTGTTCTCTTAAAATTTTTTATCGATAATGAGTTCAACTGTTTATTGTAACGTCACGCCAGCGTGTATGTCTACTAATATCTTTAAATCGCTACTACCAACAGTTGTAATTTTTTTACTGAATAAGGGGTGATTTAACTGATATGCAAATCTAGAAAAACCTTTTTAAAATATGGACATTTTAAATTTTTTTTAAACAATTTCATACAAGTTTCAAACAAAGCCATTATGTAAGTATGTATTTTACATCCTGTGTTCGGACTAGCTAAATTTGACTCTGGAGTAAATCACTCGCGAAATCAAAATACAAACCAATTATCCGTAGCAGATTTACATTTTTTATTTTCACTTTCATGCGAATCAAAAGTTAGAAAAATTTGATCGGATATCCAGATATTCCGATTTTATCCGTATACATGAATATCGGAACGAATAGTCCATAGTATGTGTTTTAATACACAGATGCAATCTACTACATACTTATATAATTTTTCATTTATGACTTGTGTTCCTATATTACTCTAAAAATATTGCAAAATTTATTTTTTAAAGGTTCCTTTCCACCCAGTCCAGCTGATAGTGGCGTATCTGATGTGGATAGTTCTAGTTCTGGAGGACAGCCGTGTAGCGATGAGATAAAAGCTAGGCTTGGCATACCCGCACATTGTCACCCGCATGCGTCGCACGTGCCGTCAGGAACATTTCTACATCCCAATCTGTACCAAAATTCAGCGTCATTGCGGAATATATGGAATCGAAGTGTTGGAAGTGAGTGTTTGCACCTTTTTTTTACAGTTACATAGATATGTACAAATAACGCATTTACGCAATGACAGAACGCCGTATATATATATATATATATATATATATATATCTATATATATATTTACGACATTCATGCATATGTACATATCGTCACTTTAACAAATACCGTATTTTGCTTGCGTTTCATTCAAAATTGGGAAAATCGAACTGAAATTCTAAAATATTTCCACCGGCCTACACGAATTCCCATATGTATGCATATACATGTGTACATATGTATGTATATAAATTTTAATGAAGACATAGTATAGCCCACAGCTGCTTTTGAATCGAATATTTACAAAGAAAATTATGTAGGTATGCATTAAAGTATCATCTCCTTGACATCGATTAGAAGTTTAACCGCTCGACCACTTCTTAACCATCAGGATTGGTACCACTAAGAATGAGTTAAAAACAAAACTAACAACTTTCTATTAGGTACTTTATTTCAAAAAAACATATTTTAGTTTTTTTGGAATATATGTAAGTACATTCCAACAAGCAAAACAAACTTAAAGTAGGTTTTTTAAAAGTTTACTAAAATAAACACAAAGCTTACAAAGCGATTATTCTTGGTTTATAAAACACTCAAAAGAAGCGTAATATAATCGAAACGGCACGTCAAAATAACCACTCTTGCTGATATATCCGTAGTTGCGTATGTAACGTATACACCCCGTAGAACTATACGCTGTCATCTAACAAGTTTACTGGTACGCCTTAACTTAAAAGTCATATTATTTAAGTAATAAAATATTGGCGTGGGAGATTTTTACACATACATATATAATACTTTCTTCATGTATATGACGATTTTAGAATGAATTTCCAGCTTGCCAATCAAAATTGTAAAAATGGAATTTTAGCTTCTCAAATCATAGCCATTTTTACTCAATGTAATTTTCTTTCATTTGGTGACACACTTTTGGTGACATTTGCACTGTTTACTTTAATGATTTTAAAGTATCTAAAATTATTATAATTAAAAAAAAAACTAAAACCAATATGAACATTCTATTTGTCAGCTTCCCATAGTTATTAAAAAAAAATATATGTATGTGCGTTTTTTCGAATGACAATGAAATAATTAGTAATTCCAGACCTTTTTCGCCTAAACAAATACTTGATTTATTATTTATTGTACTTGTTTCTGGAACTCCATTGATGGAAATAAATGCAAGAATAATGCTTAAGCTAAAACAACTAAAAAACAACTCGTATACATACATATGTATGTATATATGTAGTATGTACATTAGGCATATAACTTTTTTTCTAAAATTAAATAGACCTTTGAGGAGAGGATGTGGAGTGATAAAAAAACCAACAAAAATAAGGCTTTGGAGAAAAAAGTTCCCGAAGTGAACCACATCCTCTCCTCATAAGTGTATTTAATTTTAGTGAAAAAAGTGGTAAAACGTCACAAGCCTAGTGTACGTATATACAAAACGTTAACATGTTAGGCGCATGCGTACTATGTTCAAACACCACCCAAAGAATTAGGAGTGACTTAGATACTAAAGGCGGGTTCACCGTTCGTGTCCGAACAACTTTTTATTTGCTCTCAAAACATTTTTGCCGGAGAGAGTGCTGAAGTACTGTTCACCGTTCAGTTCGGCACATTTTATTTTGTTCTGACGCAAACAGCTGATGATATTGTTGCCTACATGTGATTTTGAGAGCAAATAATACATGCAATTCGCTGCAAACGCATATAAAGGAGAACGCGGCAACCCGAATCATCAAGTCGTTCGGACAGAAAATCAAAATCAGTTTGATTCGAACAAAGAGTGTTCAGCAAATTTTTGTCGCGCTCTCAGTGAGACTAAGTGGGAAAGGAACGCGTAAAACTACTAACAAAAAGTGTCCGGACACGAACGGTGAATCCGCCTTAAATGGGCTCAAAAAGAATAGACGGACTACATATGTACATATGTACTTATGTATTTATGTACATACACACATAATAAGCCATATGCGCGTATGCACATACATATGTACATATTTGTGCAACTACATGCATGCTATATGGACGTGAATAGAATTTACCAAATATTTGCACAAAAACATAACGAGTTCACGAGTTCTTATTTGCGCCAAGCAGTAATCTTAAACTTCAAACACATTACTTGTCGCAATAAACTCGACAAACCAAAACAAAAACTACATAAATAGTACGTACATATATGCATGCATTTCTTCCCCCAACGCTCTCCCATACTTCTTCAATGATTGAGTAGCAAACTAGAATACGTATATATACATAAATGTATATACATATATATGCACAGCTATGCATATGTGCATACTCTCCAGGAACTGCAAAAACCACTCTCACTCTTTGCCTGGCACAAATACATACGAGCTCCAAACGATGCATATTTATTTACATACATACATACATATGTATGTACGTCACATTTGTCTCACTTGGCGCTGCCATCGCCAGCTGTGATGCCACTTGCGTCGACGCTTGCGTAGCATGCAATCCCGTTGGCGAATCACCTCCCCTCCATTAGCTTTTCGTTTAAATATGCATAAATATATGTATATGCACGCTTGTGTATACCGAAATTCGTTTGCGTCCGTTTGTAGTATTTCCATATGTGTATTGCGAACTTTATATGCATGCATTTGCTACGTCCGCCGTTTGTTGTTTATATTCGTATATTTGTATGTATGAATGAATCTGTGGTCATCGACACATTGCCTTTGCACGAATTCTGAAGGTCACAACTACTGCGAAACAAGCCGAAGCAAAGTGAGCGCCAAACCAAAATGAGAGCGAAAAGTTGTTAGTATTTAGATGGCGTATAGCAGTGGAGCCGGGGAGCGCCAGACTAGCCCCCTAAACTGCAAAATATCTCCTCTCGTATACGCACATGCATTCGCATATGATTATGTACATTTGTATGTATGTACATACATGCAAAGTCACATTCAATTGTTTACGAGAATTTTTATACATAGTTCGTGCACGCTGGTGGCTAAGCGCGTAAGAGCAATTAACTTTTTCCCTGTTATGAAAAGCAGTGGTTACAAAATCATTCATTTCGGCAAAAATAAGTAGTCATAAGTAGTTCGCTCTTTGTGCCTTTTCGCTATGCTTCAATTTTACACCGTGCAACAGCCAATTTTACACACACATAAGTCAATAACATTCGCGAAACCATGGGCGCAATATAGCCAAACTGCGTTTTTAGTTTTTCTGCCTGGCCTCATGCTTTTTTTAAAAGGACTTTGAAATTTGAAAAATATCATTATGTACTTCAAACAATTATTTAAAAAGAAAATATATCGGATTAAAGAGAAAATTCCGTAGAACTAAAGCAAATTCGATTTTTTGATGCATACGGAGTACTAGGTATTGAAAATGTCATTTTATTTTATGTTAAGGACTTATATACACTCGACATATCCTCGAATTTCGTTCTTATAACTTTACAAGCTTAAAAAATGTTTGATACCTCTTTGCCCTTGCGAACCAAAAAATTTTATCAGTGTTATTGTGGCTTGTTTTAATTTTTTTTTTTAATTCTGCAGAATTTTCTCTTTCATTTGGTACCCATATTGTTATTCTAAATTACGCTGAATTTTTTAAATAATTTTTGGAATTAATCATGTTTTTGAAACTACAAAGTCCTTACACAAAAATCCTGCCACCAGAGAGAAAAACTAACAATGGAGTTTTACTATATTTGGTCTATAGTTTAGTGAGTATATTGATAGCTTCATGTTTTTCGAAATTTTTTTGTTTTTGTAGTACGGTGTTATATATAGGCAGGCGTATTCGCGCATAGGAAAATTTTTCTTACAGATCTTTCAGTACCTACCTTTTCTCCAAGTAAATTGCGTAATCCAAGGCAATATTACTGTGCCCGTGTTCAATAGAGGTAGAATAAAATAGAAAAAATTAACGCAATAAATGAATATTTTTTCTGAATATATATTTTTTTTAAATAAGGGGCATCAATATGTTTGTTAGTAGAGGCAAGAAGACAACTTTGCCCAAACTCTTTGCAAAATGTGTGATCGCTGAATATTCATTTTTTTACTCAAATAGCGCCAGTTATGGCCCAAAAAGTATCTAACAACTTGATACTGGGTTGGAGTACATCACATGCATGCTCTCTCCCACACACACTTATGTATGTATGAGTTTATTTTATTGATACCATCGCAATGCAAAAGCACAAAAGTCAGCTGCAAGCAGTTTGCTTGCCCACATGAAAATAGCAAGTCGGACACATGAGTGGCAAAGTGTGGTGCGAGTTGCATTATACACTTTATGTTCCAAACAGCCGGCAGAGGTGCGCATCTACATATGTACAGAGGATTGTTTTTACAAGTCGAGACAGCACACATTTTGACTTTTTCGCATTTTCTCGATGAGCGACACATTTCCGATTGTAGAAAAATTTGCCATAAAAGCCAGACATGCATATTTACATATACACACACATAAATATTATTGAAAAACTTCTCGCATAAACAAAAGGCTATTAAATTATAGCAAGCAATACATTACAATTTATCTTATTTACAGCTTAAAAAAAGAATAATAAATGTAATTATAAAAAGTCAAAAATTTACGAAAAATTGTTTGATCCTTATTATAAAACTCTTGAACTCCTTTCCTGTACAAGCTGCAAATTTCTTTAAAAAGATAAGAGCTGTATAGCTCGGTGAATTTTCGCGACTTCACTCAATGACTCAGCTCAGTAAGTTTGAGCGTGCAGCACACTGCTGGGAGTCAATTAAATAACTCGGCTCAATGCTGAGTCACCCGCGACTAAAGGTCTGATTACACTGGTCTACAAATTTCAACTTTTTTTCTGCGAATAAGACGGGACCTGGTGTTTCTGAACGGATTTTTCGTGCTGAACACGAGTCAAAAATGTCCCATCACGTCACGTTTTCGAGAAAAAAGGGGTTGAAACCCCTAAA